AGACGCATCGTATATCCAAGATGTACTTGCAGTCACATAGCGTATAGTTGCTTTATCTCGAGACTTGACAAGACCGACTGTGTTTTCAGTTGAGGTATGATGTCACTGTTATCCACAACGTCCAAAAAAAAAGAGATGGCACTGTTTCCTAAAAAAATCAACTCGGGATTTATCTTGAGTACGGTTGTGAAGAATTATTGAAGTCAGAGAGCTGCAAATACGATAGTGGAACGAAATAGAGGGTTTTGCCATGCTAAATTAGAGGAGGATGAAAATATTTGAATGAGAATGCCAGATAAAGAACAATGATCACGCGAAATGGTGTTTTGTATAACATTCATCGAAATATCTTCCATCCTGAATAATAGCCACAATAATTATGAAAATGTTGACTTATGATATTTATGAATATCTAATAAAAAAAACCAAAAAACCAAAAAACCAATGATTCACAAGCAATTATCTGTTCTTCAGTGTACAATAAGTTACTTGTGGGTGGATAATTGTAGCTGGCGGACAGTGAATGTTGTGTCGTATGTTTTGCTTGATTCAAAAGGTCAAGAAATTATCATTTCCTATTGCAGTTCTGAAATCTGTCGATTTTTTCATTGTAATCATAGAATTTATTAATGATAGCTAATTGAAGCAGTGTCTTATTTGTAGGCAATCTCAGTGTGGCATTTAGTGTAGTCTGTTATTAGCCTTTCAGTGCCTTTTTAATAATTTCTGGAAAGAATAAGGTTCCGACTTATGGATTCTCTTGAAGACAAGCACTGAGACTATGCCTCTCATTTGGTGTGAAAGCTGGTTAAAGCAGTGCTGTGTGTGAACTATATGCTTCAAGCCATCCATTTGATTTCGTCACTTCTTTACACTGAAAGATTCTTTGAAGAGTTATTTGAGGTAATTTCACAACATGCAAGCGACTAAGCTGTATGTCACTGCGCTTGAATGATCCTCAATGAAAGTGTCGTTGAAGATGGCTCGGTCTGGCGAGGTCTACCGACTGATATATAAGCTGGGAGGAAGAGAAGGAATACATGCGCGTGGCAAGTGGATTTTCTTGTGGAAAATTGAATGAAACGAAGACGAAGGTGGAACTAGTTGAGTATTATAGAAGCGCGGGTAAGAAGGGTGGTGGAATGATGGTAGTGGAAGGAACAGAAAGGAAAAGGATACAAGGGAAGGAATGATAGAAGTGAGTGAGGGATCGGAAGGGTATTTAAAGGGTGCGTGCTTGGCTATGGGTTGGGTGGATTTCGTAAGGGAAGTGAAGGAAGGGTTCGGGCTGGCTGTTTGCTGCTTTCAAGGGACGGAAGGGAGGTGTGGAATAGGTTCTGTTTCGGGGGGTGTGTCTGTTGGCTCTGATTCAAGGGCGTCTCGTCCGACCTCGCCCAAACCATTAACACCAATCCACCGGCGTCGTTCCTTTCCACTTGTTTTCAAAATTATTGTCAAAAGTGCGACTTCTCCCCGTCATCCACTCTTGCGTTGCCGTGTGATACAACCAACCCCCACGCATTTCCGTCGCGGTTGCTTTGGCGATTCGACTTCTTCCGTCTGAGTAACTGATTTCGGCTTTTTCGCTTTTTCCCCTCTAGATTGACTATTTGTTTCAGTGTAATGTGGAGAACTCCCATAGAGTGTTGTTAGTAGTGAAAGGTTATAAGGCTCACTAACTTGCAAAAGACAAAAGCCAAGAGGTCGACATACATACTTTATCAAAGAATGCTAATCAGTGAGATTTTTGGGGTCTTTTTTTTTCTTCCATTGGTGGCACTGCAGTGCTGGAAGTTAGCAAAGTTCCTGACACATATTTCTGCTGATGTTATCCTCACTTTCTTCTCCATTAATCCCTCTCTCTCATTCTCTATCTTTTCACCTCTTTTTCACTCTCTGTTGTGTGATTTAGTAGCAAGAAAGTTTTTTTTGATAGTTTTGGTGAAAGAAAGAAGTTGGAAATCAAGAAAAGCAAGTTCCAGAATGCATGCGCGGATGGGTGAAAACCGAGAAGAGAAGCAAATGGGGCGCTCCAGTTAGGCTGACGGCCGGCAGTTAACTATTATGTTTTACGGAACACTGAGGAAGTGGATGCTACTACTGCACCCTACCATCCGATGAGCACCCTTCCACAGCGAACAAGCCACCATCTGTCACATCATCTTGCTCTCTTTTATCTTTTGTCACGTTACATTAGCTGCTAGAACATGGAGCATACTATCTGATTTTCCTGATGGGTAACATACTAGATATTGTTTCTTTGTACTCCTCATCACTCACCCTTTTGTTTATGTCCTTTAATCCCACGCTTCCTCATTTGCACTGCTACTTCCCGACAGGTTTTCTCGCCTAAATGCTCGCGTCTTCGCTGTTCTTTTCATTCCAGTTTTCGTGATGCTCACGCAAAGATTTCTTGACAGTTATCGTGAATATCAAAACATTTCATTTGAAGTTAACCGCAGAAGTATTCAAATGGTTGAGTGAGTATAGTAGGTGAAAAAAATGAATTAGAATGAGGATGACAAAAAATTAAATTTTCCTTCGTTGATTTCCATATTACTTCGTGTATGCATCCATAGTATTTAAATATCCTTTGCATAATAGTACCTGCTGCTGAAGATGAGTTTCGTATAAGATTTTTTTTCGATATTAACGAGTTCTTGTAGCAGTACTTGTTACGAGGGGGCATTGTCATGGAAGCAGTTCAAGTATATGATGATTGCATAGATTTTCTATGTATGTCAGGTTAATTTCATGCGACAACACAACTATAAACAGTCGATAATTGTCGACTTGTCAAATAACTACATCTTTCGAAAGCAGATGATAAGTTTTATACATCCTTTGAGAAGTAATCTTAAATAAGATTGTGAATTACTTGTTGCTCTTTCTTCCAAGCATATAGGATTTAATATATTGGTATGGAAGCTGGATAGTCGTTTTGGCGATTTGCTTGCCTACTATAACTTCAAAATTTTCATGTCAGAGAGTTGGGATATGTTGGTAATCAGATTTGGTCTTTTTTATTGTTTACATCAGATGGTTCATTATTATCAGTAGTTGCATGTTTTTGCCATGTTCCACAAATATTTTTAGCTTAGATAGTTCAGATTTCAAATGCTTATTGCTTCTGATATATTTTGGTTTTTCAATTTTTAGTAAAGGCGGAGTTAATTTTGCCGTCTCTTTCATTTTTAAGATTTTGTTTCTGAAGTTGTATATAGTATTATGTATTCTGGCTTGGAATTACAGAGCCATACTTTACTTAACGCTTGCAATTCTAGTGAAAGTGATAACAGGACTATAGAAACACGCGATCCACTTGGTCGCATTCACTAAGATGGCTCTTTTTGTTCTTTGTTAGATTTTTCATTTATTTCGTAGAAATAGTTGTGCTTGGGTACTCGTGTGTATTTTATTTCTCTTAAATTAGGTGTCCACATAACAGATTTTCCGGTCTTTCCATTGCGTGTCTTTTCAAATGACTTTTGACTTCAAGTAATCGAGTAGTGTGAAGTAGTCTGAATCAACAATGGGAAAGTTTGTCGTTGTTTCTACATTACACGGTAACAGTGCATACAGTTCAAAAACTCGACTAAGCAGATTTTCTCTCACTTCTTTACTTCTTTTTAGATTTCCATTTGGTGTGTTCCTTCAACGCATCGATAACATAACGTTAACATATATGCGTGATTGTGGGGAAAAGTAAAATAAATATACGTTTAGATATTCATATTTTTTAAACCGTTTAGATTTTTAATCATTTCGCATTCTCTTGATTAAGAAATAGATGATTATGTCAATGGAGTAGATGACTATGTCACACGGTTTCTTATAAAAATTCTTGGTTCTTAGAGAAAAGCAGGGAAATGAGGTTGAAGGAGGAGGGGGAGGATTGTGGATTGATCTGAAGAACTGTATCGAGGGCGTTGCCTGTTTACAAGTTCCTTCCTCAGGTTTTTTCATATTATTTGTGAAGAATTGACGTATCATTGCTCTCACTTTGTATTTAGGCTGTTCATTTTAATTGATCATGTTTGTCAATTGAAATGATTTAAAAAAAATTCTCTCTAATCGATTTTGTCCTACTTTTAACAATGGTATTTAAATACAGTAAATTCGTATTTATAATACCATTAGTTACATATCTGTGGTTTACTTTGTTCACTCATGTGGTCCTGCTTACATTATTTCAATAGAGAAAATCAAGCACTAGTTATTTGACTTATAAAGATTTTATTCCATTGCTTGTATATTCGTTTCTTTCTGACCAGCTTCATATGCCTTGTAATTTTCAAGAGTGATATGCTTAGTGGTTCCCTGTAGTAGTAGTAGTAGTATCTTCAGTAGTTTTAGTAGTAGTTTGGTCATTTTCATTATAGTTAAACTGAAGGGGAAAGATACAAGTGCAAATGCAGTTGTATATGTTATTCTATTTCTTTATGCCCCCATTTCACAGTTGTTTTTGTTTGTTTTGCTATTTTATTTTGCATTTGTTTTGCATATGTAGATTAAAAATCTAGGGAAGCGATTGAGGTACGCTGAGCCATCTTTATTTGAAACAATCATATGTCTTGTAATTTTCGTGTTTGTTTCAATTTTGTTACTTTGCAATTTTTACATCCGTAAGTACTTATGTTATTCAAATAACGGAGTTATATATTTTCACTTTATAGTTTTTTAAAACAAAACTAATCTGGAATACAAGAGTAATATGCTTAGTAGTTTCCTGTAGTGGTAGTAATAATTTTTAATTTTGTCAGAGGTTTCGTTGTGATGTGGGGAGTATTTTCGATTTTCGCCTGCTTAAAGGCCTATCAGATAATCTCATGGATTGATACATAATTAAGATTTTTTTTTTTTAGTTTTACTCTTATTACTTGTGAATATTCCCTCGAGCTGGAGTATTTAAGGGTTTTTTCAGTTACTACTCAAAACTCCAAAATTTGTAATTTTTTGTTGCGAACTATGCAATTTGATAGAACGGTAATTTCGAAAGTTGTTTTTGCTGTTGCTGGACGGTACGTAATGAAGTAATTTGTTTGACAGATAAGGTGTTTTTTGAATGTTAGAATAAGAATTATATACAAATATTTGATCTTTACCAAGTTGGAATGAGTTTTTTAGTCAGTATTGAATGGTTTCCTTAGAAAGCCTTTGTGGGGCGATATTGAAGTCCTGAAATCCAGGTTTCAATTGTACCAACCGGATGGTTACGAAAGCTCTTCTTGCGTATAATATTTATTATGTACAAACAGATTATTTTCAGTGTAATTGGGTACAGCTCTCGTGAAAGCGCAACAAAAGCACTTGAGAAAATGAGTGGCAAAGAAGTGGATGGACAAACTGTGCAGGTGTGTGTGGCTTGTTCATTATCACTGTGCTTCCCATTGTTTGTAATGCATTTTTATTGATTCTGCAATTGCACTCGAAGTGCGTCCGTCTGTACTTATCAAAGGATGCGGATACACTTGTATATATCCGGAATTCATCAGCCAACCTTACGTTTCGCCATCTTCCAGGTTGCTGCTGTCGAAGAAAAGCAGACCGTAGCGGGGAGCAAGAATTCAGAAGCCACGAAAGAAGCAGAACGAAGCCCGTCTGAAGAGAGAAGGTTTGTGTAATTAAGAATTGACGTTAGCTTTGAACTTTTATTATATTTTCAGTCTGAAATGCAAATTATAAATTTTTATTTTCCATATTATATGTGGATTTTTTGAATTTTGGTTCTTGCCACATAGTAAGTATAGAAATACTTGATGACGATCCTTCGTTGCCTTTGGGGACTTTTCGTTTGTGTGCTTTTTCTCATCGCGTTTTTCTATTCTTCTAAGAGTACAACTGCTGTAAAACTAATAAAATACAACTGTTGAGTGTAGTAGAAATATCATTTTCTATAAATATCTCCCAGTTGTTGCTAGTTCTACGTTTAGATACTATTCAAGTTAGATGCCATGTTTTTGAATTATTGCGCTGTTGGTGTTTCCGTATCCAAAAATTTCGGTTTAGGATATGCATATAGCAGCTTCTTTTAAAAGCATATTTGTTGACCGACTTATCAACGTTTAATAACTCCAATTATATTTTTTAATTTGTAATAACGTAGTGGTCACGGGAGATCATCAGGTAAGCCATTTCCATGTGATAGTTGCCATTCTAGGCAGATGAAACAATTTTAGTTCGAAATATGTTGACTTTAATTACTTGTAGCCGGTCGCGTACTAATTCGGGCTCATCAGCCGCATCGGGTGATGAAGAGAAGAAAAATGGCAGTGTTGACGGTAATGAGCGCTCAGGAGTAGCGACGGTTGGGGCTGATAGCCATAAAAAAGCAAAGAATGGCGATGAACATATTGGAAGCGCAGTTACCGCGAATAACACAAGAAATGTTCATCTTTCAAATATTTCAAAATTTTTGGTGTTTGAATAGAGGAAAATAAATTT